AATGATGAGGGAATACAAGCCTATTCTGATAGAGTTCTTAGGATTGTTAATGAGCTAAGGCTGTTAGGTGAAGTTGTTATTGAGAGAAGAATCGTAGCCAAGTTTCTCATTAGCCTACTTGAAAAATTTGAATCAAAAATCACTTCCTTAGAAGATTCTAAGGATCTGACAAAGTTAACTGTGAATGAGCTCATCAACAACCTACTTGCTCTAGAACAGAAGAGAGCAATGAGAGTTGAGTATAGTGAAAATGCTCTTGTGGCTAAGACTAAGGAACTAAAAGTAAAAGGTGGAAGTTCGAAGAATACTGATAAGAAAGGGAAAACCAAAAATGGAGAAGGAATGCAGGAAAGTCCAACAGATAAACATTCACCTTGCTTTATTTGCAAGAAGAAAAATCATTATGAGAGGTACTGCTGGTATAGGCCCAATGTTAAATGTAGGGCATACCAATAGATGGGGCATGTAGAAAAGGTATGTAAAGCAAGGAAGTCTGAATCTTCAACTCAAGCAGCTGTAGCAGAACAAGAAGACAATGATAATGAGGTTCTGTTTATGGCAAAGATGGAGGAAGACTCAGAAAAGTCAAATATATGGCTGCTGGATAGTGCTTGCTCCCACTATCTCACAAGTAACAAAGGTCTCTTCACTACACTGGATACTACTTTTCAGTATAAAGTCAAGATAGGTGATGGGAACTTCTTGAAGATTCTTAGAGTTAGAAAAGTAGGGGTTGAGACAGCTTCAGGGTATAAGTACATTAACAGTGTACATTATGTTCCTGAAGCCAACCAAAACTTATTAAGTGTTGGTCAGTTAGCTGAGGAGTATTAAGCATTGTTATTCAAAGAACAGATGTGCACAATCTTGGATCCATATGGAGAAGAATTATTTGCTGTTGAAATGAAAAATCACTGCTATCCACTGAATTTAGCTGACACAGCTCATTTAGCCTTGTATAATGAAGATGATTTGTCTGAAACTTTGCACAGGAGACTTGGACATGTCAATTATACTTCCTTGACAGTAATGGCATCCAAAGGTACAGTTGAAGGGTTGCCCACCATCACTAAGCCAGACAAGCTATGTCAAACTTGTCAACTTGGTAAGCAAACTAGGAAAGCTTTTCCTAAAGTGAGCAAGTGGAAAGCATCTGAAAAACTTGAATTGGTTCACATTGATCTTAGTGGACCAATGAAGAATCCTTCTTTGAATGGCAGTAGATACTATATCATGTTCATTGATGACTTCACAAAGTTCTGCTGGGTGTACTTCATCAAGCAGAAATCTGATGCCTTGGAGAAGTTCATTCAATTTAAAGCCCTGGTGGAAAACTTCTCAAGTTAACCATCAAGACTTTAAGAAGTGATAATAGTACTGAGTTTGCTGCTTCAGAGTTTGAGAGATATTTAGCAGATTGTGGAGTTCAACATCAACTAACAGTGACCTAAAGCCTTCAGCAAAATGGTAAAGCAGAGAGGAAGAATAGAACACTTGCAGAAATG